CCCCCGAGCCGTAGCCCCCTCCCCCCGCCCCTACCTACCGGCTTGGCGCTGTCTACACGCGCCAGAAAGAAAAATCCCGGCACTTGATCTCTCCATCAGGATATCACGAGTCCGGGTTCATTTCGTTTGGAAATCGTGATTTTTATTTTTTTTTTTTCTCATGAGAGTTGGCATTAATGGAATCGGGCCCCCATGGAAGAGTGGGGCTGGGCGGGCCCCAAGAAATCCTCGAAATGGGGCCAGGCCTCACTACAGAGGAAGCCCCCCCCACCCCACCCCACCCCACCCCGGTCCAGACCAGATGGGCCATGGGGTAAAATTCTCTCTTAGGAATTGTAACTAGGAAGCTGGAAGATGCTAAGTGTGGTGAATAAAGGTAAAGGGCAGTGATGTAAAACAGCAGGTTGAAATAGATTTTGTTCAGTTTTCATAATGCCAGAAATTGCCGTTTTCAGTACGTGTGTATGTGTTCGCAAGGGAAAAGACAATGGCATCTGGGACTGTAATAGCCTCTACTCCTCCGGGAGGTTCAAATGATGTGGGCTTGGAAGAGCCAAAGAAGATGACAAGAGAGGACTGGAGGAAGAAGAAGGAGCTAGAAGAACAGAGAAAGCTGGGTAATGCACCAGCCGAAGTAGATGAGGAAGGAAAGTAAGTTTTACTTAAGGCATCAATGTTACCAATGGGATGTAATTGTAATATTTCTGCTAGGGATGTTGAAGGGTAAATAATTAATTGTTAAGCCTGGTGACACCCGGTTAGCTTACTGGTTGTTTAGTGCGCCCATGTGGCAGGGAAAGGGAGCAGTGATCCAGCAGGAACTGGAAGGCTGCAGGGCAGGGAGGAGGAGAGGAAGGGGTGAGGGGGGAGTAGTACGCTAGCCTATGAGATTAAAAAGGAAACCAGCAGGCAGCCTAATGACTTATCAACTAAGCAATGAGCTGCTCATTCACAGGTGCTGTTCCCTCTCTCCCAACCTAGGGGCTTCATTTGGGCTGTGTTATCTGGCTGGGCTTGCCACTGCCGTACCCACCTAAAAGGCCCCAGGAGTGGCTCCCAGCAGCAGCTGTGTTATCGGTTAACCGTTTAACCAGTATAATTAGAAGAGGTTAAAAGGATCATTTTTAAAACAATATTTACATCCCTACTCCCTGCTGATAGCCAAAGAAACTCACAAGGAACTTGCAGAATTACAATAACAGTGGCTTAGTGTAAATTCTCAACTTTGTGAGTTGTTCTTTAAGACCCAAATCCTCTCCCTCTTCAGCAAGGCTAGAGACTCCTTTAACATAGAAATGACATTTATTTGGTATATGGCAAGTGGAGATGCCAGTAATAGATGGAGCCATGTGGTATTTTAGTGGTGGATGGGGGGTTGGGTAGAAGATTTGTTATAATGTAGATTGTTCTTTACTTTCCTCTACTTCCATTTTACCTCCTTGACCAGCTGGAGATGCTCAGTTTTTTCACTGCTGAAGGGGGAGACTATAACTCTTTCCCTAAGATCCTATGTTGTTCATAATACCAAGTCAAGTTACTCGGTTAGAGGCTGGATTTCAGCCCAAGTAAGTGGATCGAAATAAAGAGAATTATGGTCTGTTTAATTTGGCAAGTATAGACCAGTTATAAGTGTATTGAGAAGACCAATATCTACACCGTCTGTTACAAAAATATTTATACTAAATACAAAAAATGCGGTTGTAAAAAAAAAGATTCCTATTCATGTTTATATTGTTTTTATGTCTAAACATTTTCTTTTAAAATCTTTCTCAGAGATATCAATCCTCATATTCCTCAGTACATCTCCTCAGTGCCATGGTACATAGATCCTTCAAAAAGACCTACGCTAAAGCACCAGAGACCTCAGCCAGAGAAGCAGAAGCAGTTTAGCACATCTGGAGACTGGTATAAGCGAGGGGTTCAGGAGGTAAGTAGAAACCTCTTGGGTGTCTAGCAAAGGTGAGGCTTGTGGAATGCCTATGACCAAGGGCAGAACGTGTTCTTGACAAAATTGTGGTGGTTTCTTTTAAGCTGTGTTTCACCGTAGCCAGTTGTTCTTTGGGTAACTTTAGTATTGGGTAAAGTTTGCTTCACCAGCTATTGCACCAGTTAGGTTTCAGCTCAACCTCTGGGTCTCTCTCTAGACAGTCAGTATAGCTTAGCATTTATTGCCATTTGATCCTCTGTCTTGCTACAAAAACCTGTCAAGGATGTAAGTTTTTGGTGGTATAGCTGTCTTCCTTCTAGGAACTTATATGAAACCATTAGCCTTTTTACTGTTAATTACTTTAAATAACTACAAAACAACATGGATTCAGTTTATATTCTGAAGAAAATTTTGGGAACTTACTCTGACATCATTGGATTCAATGGAATTTTGTCTGTCTCACTTCTAGTGCAGAGGTTCCTAAATATTTTTTTATTGCATACCCCCTTCCAGATTTACCAGCTACCTACATACCCCTGGCAGTATACATTTTATATTTTAAGCCCTTAAATGCTAATTATTATTCTAATGAAAATTAAATTCACCACTACACAATGTCTTCTGTATACCTCCCAGATGTGTCTTGCGTACCTCCAGGGGTACGCATACCACAGTTTGAGAACCCTTGTTCTACTGCATCTTTCTTTATGGTTTCTCTACATTCGTGATTAAGTAGGGAAGCAGAAGGAAAACCTCTTCTACAAAGCAGTTGATAGTATTTGGAAATTGCTGTAAATGCTTTAGCTTTAAGAAGCTCATCTTGTATATACATGTGTATGTACTTGTGCTTCATTTGCTTAATTAGGCTTGTTTTCCTGATTAGGCAAAGCTGAGTACTGGCATAGTGGGCCTGCCATGCTACTTATATTCACATGGTGTTTGCTTTTTCATGTTTAGAATGCTTTAGCAACAAGATATCGCAAAGGGGCCTGTGAGAACTGTGGTGCAATGACACACAACAAGAAAGACTGCCTAGAGGTAACTTGGTGTCTGAATTTTTCTGGAAAGCATTTCTCTCAGTTCTGTTATGATGGAAAATATCTACTGAAAGAGTATCAATTTAGATTTGTCAAACTAAAACTTAAGTTTTAACTAAAATTAAACTGATGCTTTCACTCGAATTTGTGAAATTCAGCTCTTCAACATGCTGTTTGAAGTCCATTAAAAGACTAACAGACCATTCAGTTTGTGGTATAGCTAAGGACATTTGTAGCTCAAGCCTTGTGTGTGAAAACAGTTACAGATAAGAAAATGATCACTTTACTCAAACAACTCTCATCTGCCAACTCTGTCATTTGTTTAGTTCTTTTTAGTAACTTTTAATTTTAGTTCATGTTCTGCCCATATTGCTTTTTTTTAGCTCTGGTTCTATTAAAATCAATATTTTAAAGCTACTCATTAATATCTATTAATGTGACATCAGCTTGAAATCTTATTTGCTGGAGTATGTGCAGATGCTATGACTTTAAGAGGAGGTTTGATAATTACCTAGGTGGGGTCATATGAGCCCAGTATTCTCTCCTGCCCAGGACTTGAAGATCTACTTAGGTCCCTTCCAACCCTACATCTATGAATCTGTGTGGTTTTTGGCAGGGGGGGTGTTCTTTAAGTAAAAAGTACCTTGCATCTGAGTCTCCATCCCAGTTTTGTAGACTACAATCCTGTTTCCCTTTTTTGAGCATTTTTGCTTTTTCTTTAGCCCTCCATTGTCAGTATGCTATAATACTGAGGCAGCAGTGAAAGGATTACAGGAAATACAGACACAAGCTAATTAGTTAAACTTTCATCTTGCAAAACCATCAGTGTGCAAAGGTGTTGCTTATTTCCCTTTCAGAGACCCAGGAAAGTTGGAGCAAAATACACAAGCATGAACATTGCTCCAGATGAACATGTACAGCCTCAGCTGATGTTTGATTATGATGGGAAGAGAGATCGTTGGAATGGTTATAACCCAGAAGAGCATATGAAGATTGTAGAAGAATATTCTAAAGTTGACTTGGTATGCAGAAATTTTATTTGGATGGGGGTGGTTGTTTTTAACTAGACCTTCTGAACTCTGTAGCACTACTGCATGATGTAGAATATGTGTATATTTGGTGGTTCAACAGGAGAAATTTGTGGAAGTGAAAACTCAAAACAGGGAGTTGTGTTCTAGTTCACTCTGTAAATGAGCCTTAGGTCAGAGTTGTTTGCAAATACTTCTTAGTATCATTTTGAAAGTAGCTAATATGGAGACGGACTGTGGGTGACAGAAGTTTGATTTTAGTGGAGAAGCTACTTAGTCTTGTAATTACTGTTTTTGAATAGGTGGCCTTTCTTAACTGTCTATATGCATGTGCTATACAGAAGTGTGAAGTAGATTTGGTAGTCTCATTTAAAGGCCTTTTAGTGGAGAAGCTACTTAGTCTCTACGTCTTAGTCTCATGTCCTGGTTGCTGTACTTCCTAATTATTTTGTTAATCATCTACTCTGTAATGTCATGAAATCAAGCTGCTACTTGCACACTTTAAAAATCCAGTTCTATACATGCAATTAGTGCACATGTTTTTTGCTCCTGGGTGTACCATTTGAACTTATGCCTAGGAGCATTTAACTCCAGGGCAGTCAGCTCTGGAGTTTATTCATGCACAGTTCATAGGACCCAGTTGGAGTAGCCCTGGCTTCTTCAACCAGGCTCAGTTTGCTGTGGAAGGGCTGGGTGGGGAAAGAATGCTTCAGTATGGGGCTAGCCAGTAGGCAGTCCCCACACTGAAGCATCCTTATGTACCACCCAGCCGGGTCAGTGTCTACACATGCACTGATGCTCATGAAACAACTTCACAGCAAGGTAGTACTTGTAAAAACTAATACAGTAAACCCTGCTGCAGAGTTTTAGTTTCCAGTGCGTAATAGGGGTGTACCTGTAGATGCTAAGATATTTACTGCAGAGCTAATTAGTCAGCTGTACAGTTATAAACGTCTTGTGTTGACATGCTGTTTTGGAATTAATTTTCTGGGCACAATTAACAGCTGTTTATGAATACTTCTTTTTAGACACAGCCACCTTTGTTTCACTTTACTCACCATTCTCAAAATCTGTCTATATTGCTTTCTTTCAAAAATGGTTTAATTTTGCTTTATGCACATTAAGGAACATTGATTCACTCACTAGTGAGTCACTGTCAAATCTTTACCAGCTTGAGTAGACCCTACCTCTGCTACGCCGTAGTGCACCACCCCACCACATGCCTGCACAGCCCCAGACCTCAGCTGCCTTGCTTGGGGCAGGGGCAGGCAGCAAAAGCCGGTGGAGAACATGAAGATTCCAGCTGCAGCCAGAGTGACGAGGGGAGTGGAAGCTGGGCAGGAACCTGTGTGGGGAGGGGAGGAGGGTAACAGGTGGGCAGCACGTGGCCTATGGGCTGCCAGTTGGACCTCCCTGGACTAGGCTTTGATATTCACTGTGGAAAAGACATTAATGCTGAAAAAGCACTCTTTACAATTGAATGCTTGTGATGTCAGAAAATGTAATTTCGGTTTTTGGAATAGGTGGCCTTTTTTAACTGTGTATATGCATGTCCCGTACAGAAGCATGAAGTAGATTTGGTAGTCTCATTTAAAGGCTTAGACCAGTGATTCTCAACCAGGGTGGTGCAGCACCCTTGGGTGCCTTGAGATCCTTTTGGGGTGCTGTAGAGTGCCAGTGTGCAAACATGATTTGCAAGATAAACCCAGAGATTTTAAATAGGAATCTGTAGAGTTTAAAGCACTCTGACGTGTTGAGTCTTTGATTTCTTTGCAACAAAATAATGACACTTTTTCTGTAGAAAAAGTTCAAGTGAAAACTAAGAGCTGTCATTTTTTGAGGGGTGCCTTGAATCTATAAAGATTGAGAGCCCCTGATCTACACTTGAATGTCATCACATCAGTAGGCATATTGTTTTGGTCCTCTTGTCACTTCAGAAAGCAATTGCTCACAACTAGTGTTTGAACTTATACTTTTTGTGGGTTTTCATTGTAGCTACATTTGTTCCTAAAATGTATCCAGGTTGTGCAAAGAGACTTGTTATCTAGGAGCCAACAGTTGAGGAGTATCCCATTTCCCTTCCTCAGTGGCTAAGTGGGGAGGGAGGGGGAAGCGGGTAGCCAACAGTGAGGATTTGGATAAACTGGCTGGAGCCAGACTGGGGCACTGAGTGCTTAATGACTATCAAAACTGGTGATTATTTGCTGCCAATTGCTAGTTGTTAGCAAAAAAAGAAAATGTTCATAATAAGTGATGCATTTAAAATTGTAAAGATGCCCAGATGAGCTTTGAATATGCTTTGCAAAAGATGATCATTAAAAAGTACTCAAAGTATTGCCATGCTATCATATTTAGGCCAAACGGACGCTGAAAGCCCAGAAGCTGCAGGAAGAGTTGGCATCAGGGAAACTAGAACAGGTGGTAAGTAAACAAAAGCCTAATGTATTGTCTTTGAAGAGAATGATGCTTCTTTCTCCTCTCGGTGAAACAAGCCATCTTGGCTATCAGATGCTTTTAGCGGAAACCAGATAATGAAGATTGTTTTAACAAATTTTTTTTTATGTGGTTTGAAACCTCAGCTGTGCAGTTTTTAGCATGCACCACTGATAACCCCATTCCCAAGTGCTACTGCTGGGCCAGAACAGGGATTCTTGCTTACTGATAGTGATTTTTTTTTTTTCCACATTGTGCATATTTTTGCAGTAGGCATCTTGCATTGTCCTATATTTCAGCTTTTTGTGTGTTATAACTATGCTAAAAGAAAAATGGACTTGTATTTGTGTTGTATTTTAAAATAGTTCATAATAGTTAATAGTTAAAAAGTTTAAAATGGCCTTACCTTCATATCAGAGGCAAAGTTACCCTACTTCAGTCCTGATAACCTATACTCTTGTTAGGGCAAGCAGAACATAGCTGTGGGTTAGAGAGACATCTCTATGTTTAGTTAACTTTATTCAGAGAATAAAGTTCTTATTCATCCTCAAGATATTTTGTATTTTACTTTTTTCCTGTAAAATCTGCTGATGAATTGATTAGCCCATGCTTAGCATACACATGAATGAACTGTATTCTGTCTTTGGTACCCACTTTTTTGCATCTAGTTCAGTTGTTAGTACCAATGTTTATTTTATCTTATTTGGATGCCCTTTTTCTTACAGGTCTTGGCTTTGGCTTTTCTTGTTCTTATTTTTGTAATGCAAGGGGCTAGTGAATTAAGGCACTGGTATGTCTTTAAATGCATTTAATATTCAAACTGTAAGCAGGGTAACTAACTTTCCATGTTAAAAAAATAGAGAGATCACTAAGTGAGGTTTAGATTTTAGGATATAGCATGTTTCTTCTCAGCCACAACAAACGCACAGAATTGAAGTAATTTTATCCTCTTGTTCTATAAATGGTACCATGATTTTTGTCACTAAATGGCAGGGTAAACATGGGGTCTCTTGTTTATCCCAGTGCAAGATATCCAGAGATCACTCCATGTTGATTTCTAACATTAGGGAAGTGGTAGAAGGAAGCATATGAATGATGCTGGGAGGACATTTGGAGTGAGATGGGTTAGGCCTCTTCTAGGAATCCTGATTTCTCTGGTAGCCATGGATCTTCCCACTTCACTGTTCCAGAAATTCTCAACTTTGAAGTCCATTGGTTCCTTTTAAAATACTTCAGCCAGCTTTCTCCTAGTTAAACCACAAGGTCTGGTGCATGAATGAAAAAGACTAAGCTGCTGCTAATTCCTGTTAAGCTGTCATCAATTTCAGAACATTTAAACAAAAATAACATGAGCAGAGTTCTGGTGAGAGGTTGAAAGTAATAGAGTTTATTTTTAAATTATAGCGGTAGTCCATGGCCTAAAAGCCTTCATGCAATTGTTCACCAGTTCAAGATGATCGTAGATTTGACTGGGAAAAAAATTAAATACTTCAAGATTTTTTTTTTCTATGCTGTGAGAGGCTTGTAAAGTTAAAGGACATTGTCACAGTGGTCTGTAATGGATTTTGTTCCATAGTTATTGCACTTTACCTCCAACAAGACTTTCTTATGCATAAAGCCTTCTTTGATTGCTTTTTCCAACAATTCCCTCTGCCTTCTTCCCCCTCCCCAATATTGTGTATTCTCTGGTGATGTGTTCTTTGTTTGCTGTAGAATTCCCCAAGACACCAGTGGGGAGAAGAGGAACCAAATTCACAGACAGTAAGACACTTACTAAATGTATTGCACCACAGGGAGAAACAGACCATTAGCTGGAGTAGGAGGGTGTAGAACAGGGGTCGGCAACCCCTGGCACGCGTGCCGAGCGTGGGACATGAGGCCATTTTGCTTGGCACGCCACGGCCAGTCCTGGCTCCGGGTAGCTGCTGCCAGTGATGGAGCCCAGGCTGGCAGCAGCTCCCCAGAGCTGGGGCCGGCTACAGCCAAGAGGCTCCAAACAGCTGCTCCAGGCTCTGGCGTCAGCTGTGCACCGGCGTGTGCAGGCGCACCTCAGAGCAGGTGGTGGGGGCGGGGCCTGAGGCAGCGCAACAGTGGGCTCTCTCCCCTTCTCCCGGCTCGGAGGTGATGAGCCTGGTGCAGCTATTTGTAGCTGGGATCCTGGGCTGCTCCCAGCAGGCATCTGGGGTGCTGCAAGCCCTGCTGGGAGCAGCCCGGGCTTCAGCAGGTACCCAGAGCCAGGGTAGCTGCTGGCAGCCACAGAGCCTGGGCTGTGGGGCAGGGGCTTTGGGTGGGGGGCACGAGGCAGCAGGGCTGGGGGCAGAGGCTTTGGGGGAGGTATGGGGCACAAGAAGGGCATCCTGCCATGTACCCCTTGCCCTCATTTTGTTTTTCTGCCATGCCAGCACTCTGGCACCTTCCAAGGTAGGCATTGTGGTGTTTTTCGGCACTCCAGCCAAAAAATGTTGCCTACCCATGGCCTAGTAAGTTGTTGGATCCATGCCACCCAAGGATTTACCTAGGCAGGACTTGCTTGCCTTGCAGCTTGTATGCACAGAGTATTCCTTCTTTTAAAATCTTACTGTAATACTGAAGTTGCCAGGCACAAGAATAACTTGACTTGTGAAAGAAAATCCTAATGCTATGTTAGATGTGCTGTCTAAAATAACTTCTTTTAAATATTATCAAAGTTGTGTTTAACTCATGATCTTATAAGAGGAAGTGATTCCTCTAACACAGTCACTTCTGAATCTTTGAAAGTAACTTCAGAATAGATTACAAACAACCACAAAAAATTGCAATGCCAGTTTTTAACTAGAGAGTATTTTTTTCATAAAATCATTTGTAGAACATGAAGTCCATTGTTAATACTTATTTCTAGATTTAATGCCCATCTTTTACTTAGTTGATTTCTGCTTTCACTTTTCAGGAACGAGATCATAACAGTGAAGATGAGGATGAAGATAAATACGCAGATGATATTGACATGCCCGGACAGAACTTTGACTCCAAAAGACGTATTACAGTCCGAAACTTACGTATCCGGGAAGATATTGCAAAAGTAAGCAGGAGCAAATGTCTAGAGTTGATGTTAGAGCTCAAGCATGAAGCAAGAAAATTCCATTTCTGAGGAAAGAATAGAAGGAATGCAGTTGTTTCAGGATGTTTTTATACCATGAACAAACACAAAAGGCTATAAATCCAGCTTGTACCAAAATCTATTTTTTAAATCTTCTGCAGCACAGAAGCCAGTCACAATGTGTATGCCATCCTAGCTCTGCCTTAATTTGGGGGAGTAAGAGGGGAAAAGGGGAGTAAAAGGGGAAAGCTATGATCTTGGCTATCTCTTTTTAAAAGACTGGCGTTACTAGCAGCTGTAGACACATAGTATCTAGTGCTTTACTTTATCCTCTTCCTAGATGCTTTTAACACTTTGCAGTCTGTTGGAATTCTGCACATATTCTAATTGTTTGGGGGGGTTGTTGTTTTTTTTAAGTACTTGAGGAATCTGGATCCAAACTCTGCCTACTACGATCCTAAAACGAGAGCGATGAGAGAGAACCCATATGCTAACACCGGCAAAAATCCAGATGAGTAAGTCAGAAACAGGAGTTGGGCCCTTTCAACAAAACAAGATAAACTAAAAATGCCCTTATTAACCTTGTATCACCTTATAGACTTATGTATCTTGCTACTAATGAGGCATTAAGCAATTATGGATGGGTAGAACTTCTTAATACAACTTTTTTTTTTTCATTTGTCAGCTAATTTTCCCCTCGCATATAAGTTGATACAGCAAAAGGCTAATCATTCCTGCTGGTACTTGATTTAGGTAAATTTTGGTCTTTGTCCTTTGGGGCACAGAACAGACTTTGCATTTTATGTGTAAGAACTGTAAAGTAGGCAGAAAAGCAAATTATAATTGACAAGGGTTCTCTTACGTCCTAGAAATGATATCTGTAGATTTGTTATGTTTACATATACATTTCAGTAGTAGCTTGTTTTACAGTTGTTTTTCATTCTTGACCTGACATTTATCACAGCAGAGAAACTCATCAAATTGGGATAATTTTTTTCTAGAAATCCTAACCTGAAACTTGGCCCTTCCAGCAGGCATTTAGGACACTGGAGAACAAATGTGTTTAAAAACACCAAAATACCATGTTTACCTGAATCTAAGACATGTTCCCCCCCCAATCAGCATGGCGGGGCGGGGGCAGGGAGGAAAGCCCTTCACGAATCTAAGATGAACAAAGTGGAGAGGGGGGCTGCTGCAGCTCTGGCTGGCCCTGAGCCCAGATTGGTGCCAGTTAGAGTTGCAACAGCCACTTCCCCCTTGCAGCTTCTTCCTCTCCCTTCCCCGCCTGCCCTGCCCTCTCATCCCCCTTCCTGTTGGGCACAGTTCAGCTCCAGCTTGGATTGAATTCCTTCCCAGGCACGGAGCACATGGAAACTGTCTCCTGCAGTAGTGCCGCTACTACTGCATGGCCTGGTAAGGGTAGCAAGGGCTACACTTCCAGGTGCTGTGCTCCAGGGAGGGAATACAGCCTGAGCAACATCTGACAGTAAGCAGGAGGGAAGAGGCAGAGACCAAAGGGATTGGGGGGGTGGGAAGGGGGC